AGATCCTTGCCAGTTGTGAGTTTCAAAAAAATTTGGAACCTCTTCTGTAGGTGTGGCCTGCTTTCTGGGTCCACTGGTGGAACCTCTTCTAACTGGTTTGGTAGATTTGACGAACCGGTTCTACCGAATAGGTGCGAACTGGTAGGAACCCACCTCTGGTCTCCATCTTCTCTCCTGAAAACATTGGGGATGCCCATTCACCTCCAAAGAGACGTTCCTGTTCTGAACTAGGCTTCCCCCAAGCCACGAAGCAGATTCCTTGTCCCGACAAAAGCCCCTTTTATTAATTGACTGCGAATTCTGCTCATTCACATGCAGCAAAGTCTTTCAAGGGAAGATTTACAGTCACAGACCTTATCTGTCTTGGAGAGTTACCCGGCCGATATCTGCAAAACTTGGCAAGGAGCCTCGGAGATTCACGAACCAATTAAGCAAACTGATGTCTCCTGCAAACTCCACTCCCCTTTTGCTCCTCTTTTATTTCCTCTGGGAGGAGCCATTCACCATCCTCCTGTGGCCTTACTCCAAAGTCCACTCCTGTTCTTTAGCTGTTCCCTTCGTCTGGCAACTTTGGGCATTCGCACATTTGGAACAGGATCCAGTTGTTCGTCTGTCTCACTGATGTCTGACTCTGAAGGCAGCTGATAACTGTCATATGGCCCTGGCCCCCTCTCTGCCTCCGACACAGAGCCCTCATCAGAGCCTTCCTCAGACTCCAGGACTGGCCCATGTTCCTCCCAAGCCTCCTCACTGTCTGAATCTATTGCCAGCTCTGCTGTCTGCTGGTGGACCACAACACTTTCCTTTTCAAACGCGTATGAAGAGATGAAGAAAAATGGTTCATCTGTGATGCATGCAGACCGCATCATACTATCCCATTTGGGAGAAGCAAGTGTGCAGAGTGTTGAAGAGAGGCCAGAATAAGCCCTACCTTGCTCTCTGCCACCAATTCTGCATCATTTGCACCAAAAATGCACCCACGTTCCATCCCAATCCATGCGCCTCCAAAGTTACCGGAAACATTTCTAACGCATTTATCTATAATTACTTAAAACAATTTGCGGTCATCACCCATCCCTGCTTTACTTTCCCCCCTGAAGGCTGAACCTGTTGTGGCCAGCCAGCAGAGCTGGCGGCAGACTCAGACAGGAGGTTGGGGAGGAACATGGGCCAGTCCTGGAGTCTGGGGAAGGCTCTGAGAAAGGCTCTGTGTCGGAGGCAGAGAGGAGGCCAGGGCTGTTATCAGCTGCCTTCAGAGTAAGATATCAGTGGGGCAGAAGAACAGTTGGAGCCTGTTTCTAGTGTCCGCATGCGCAGAGCTGCCAGGAGAAGGAAACAGCTAAGGAACAAGGGCTGACTCGGGAGTAGAGGCATATGTAGACGGTGATGATTTAGGATGCAGGGTGATTTATCAGCATTTTAGAGGAATAAATAATAAATATGCTTCCTTTAATTGGAGTGTGAGATACTTATACGAGCCAAGGTGGCGCAGTGGTTAAATGCAGCACTGCAGGCTGACTGCTAGATCAGCAGTTCAGCG